GTCCAGGCAACGACCTCTCCACTCTTGGGGAGTCCGATGTACGGTCTGTCCCCAGCACGCATCCCCGCTGACGGGGAGGCCAAAGAGTATCTGAACGTCCTGGAGAGTGATCGTGGCCTCCCCGAAGTCGAAGTGGAAGGTGTGCGTCTCCGGACGCCACCTCTCCAGAAGGCATGTAATGAGAGGATTGTTTGTCGGGACCCGCCCCATTCGAAATAAAGGCCCGAATCCGGCCTTGTCGATCGCCTCCCATGTCCGGGCATGCTGCTTGTTGTCCTCCAAGGCAGCCCAGAACTGGGTGTCCGAACGGCGTGGCTTAACCACGCCGTGGCGAAACCCCGGTGCGTCCTCATATACCGCCTTGGATCGGTGGCGGTTCTGAAGATATAGAAGTGACGGATCACTGGAGCCGGGGTGTGGGGTGTAGGGTCGAGGGTTCGAGGATGACGAAGCCATTTTCTGAAAAAATGACCGAGATTGTACCAATTGTTAATTTTGAAATGACCGAGATTGATATATTATTTAATAAATATTATTCATTTTTTGTGTATCTAATTACGCAGATCGTGTAATTTCGATTGATTTATTCAATTATAATTTCTTATCAAATTATTATAAAATGGCAGTTTCTATTTAATTATTTTTAATAACAATTTTTGGGTAAATTCATAAATACTATCTTTATATTTTTTTAATACTATGGTCGATTCTTCTTTTTAATGAATATTTGTAATTTATATATATTAATGAATATTTTTCTTACACGTGCATCGCACGAGATTCGTTAAATTTAATTAATCACGACATTGTTTTATAAAGAAGTGTTTAAGAATATTTATATTTTTTTTCTTAATTTTTTTCAATGGAAAACCACGACTAGTATATACATATTGTACAACAGATTGTACAAAAACCTTGAACACGCCCGGCAAGACGTGTTCTACCCACCACAACAATATATATAATACGCCAACGGCAATTGACGTACACAAATTGTTCACCGATTCAATCAAAACAACTCATTATCATCTCAATTTTCAAATAACTAATTCGAACCCTATAGTCAACCAAATAAACGGCAATCACTTTGATATCCAATTGCAAATATATATTGAATCGAATTGAAAACATAAATTCATAAGGCTCGCATATGCATTTGATATTGATAACACGATTAACACGAATTATACCACGTTAAATGCAGCTCGACAATAATTCAAAGTGACGGCAATCACTTTGATATCCAATTTACAAACGAGCATAATATTCACTATCAACAATCGAGCATAATATTCACTATCAACAATTCGAGGAACCTAACACCTTTGAGGACTTCTTTTGTTCTTGTTCAAACAAATCCAGAGTCTTGTTCAATGTGGCCTGTACCAACGCTCTGCAGGGCAGGAACCTAACACCTTTGAGGACATTGTTGTAACTCTCTGACATATTCGTTGTCAGAGTTCCCCATCGACGTCCTCCATCTTTGTACAGGGTCCACTTTTCTAGAGAAATTTTGAAAAGGTAATCGTATGCGTCCGGGTTACATTGATGGAGTTCCTGTCGACTCTGCTCAAATTTGCGGCGAGAACACAGTGAACCCAACCTCCAACACAAACCCCGGACTTGTTTAGTCCGGTACCTTGAAAACACGTTGCTCCGGAGGTGTCGAAGGCATATCCGATGAAATGCATGGGGTTCGTGCCAAGTCTCCAGTAATTCAACAGCACTCAATATGCCGTTGTCCCTGTCGGAAAGAAGACATATCGATCTGCCGGGGACGACATGATGGCGCAGATATGTTAGGAAAAAGGACCAGCTAGCCGTGCTTTCTTCGTCCACAATCGCATAAGCGACTGGCAATAGACGCTTATTCGCGGTCTGTGCTATGGCAACAAGCAGCTTCCCCTTGTACGAACCTGCCCAGTTGGACATATGTTTTTTTTTTATGAAACACAATTGTAAATTAAAAAATAAAATATTAATTTGCAATTAACAAATAGTTTCCCCTTGTACGAACCTCGCAGGTGCGTGCCGTCGATGCTAATAATCGGCGGGCAACGAACGAAGGTTTGAATGGCGGGGCCGAATGCCCAGAAGACAAATCTGAATTCTCTGTCTCGAGATTGCTTCGCCATTTCTCCACCCTGCCATTCCCACTCAACGACTGTACCGGGATTCGCCCTTTGAAGGGCGGCGAAAAACCTGCAAATTATAAAAGGTAACCATAAATAAATAAATAAATAAATATAGTTCAAAACAACACGTAAATACGTTTATAATTTATTTTTGCTTACTGAGGGAGTTGTGCGAAGTTCGTTTCCCACGTGCCATACAGATGATCAATGGCTTTTTTTCTCCCGTGCCACGCCTTTTTGTAGCTGACATCGACGCCCCAGGCACTTTTTACGTCGGCCTGGACCATTTCCACACTGTAGGTCACCTGCTTCTGAATCTTAGCCAACAAAAGATTTGAAATCATGGTGGCGGTCACATTCTTGTGGTCATTTCTCTCGAACACCTGCATGCAAGTGTGGCTATCGGTCCATTCGGTTACCTCCCACTTGCCGTGATCCCGTTTGTTAAGACTCACCCGGGCCTTCCATATACATGGTACAACTTCATCTGATCTGCACACAACTTTAAACGACTTCTTGTTGGAATCTTTTGTCCGGACCGCCCTAAGTTTCTCGACATTCCAGGCATTAATACCAATCTGGGCTTCTTCCTTGGTATGAAAAACTGTACCCAATCGGATAGTCTCGACACGCCCATTCCAGGTTGGCAAG